TACTGGACAGATATTCCCTAAAGGACCCTTAACAGTATTATGAAGGGCACATGGAAATACACACCAAAGTCATGAATTTGAATCCTGTTGTATGTACGCTATCATTTTATATATATATATATATTCATATCTCTTGACCCACTAGAGTTTGCAGGAGCCACTGAAGCTTCACATATCCAACCATCCTCTAGTTTCAAACAAAGAAATACACTGATTGATAGCTCAATCATCCATTCTCTGCTCAAGAATGTTACCTTTCCTCTCCTCTTTCTTCATTTTTACTAACCATTTAGTCTGTAACAAACTATTCAGTTCACATCTTCCTTCGCTCCCAAACCTCGGTTCCACCTTCCATTTTAATCGCATCGACCATGTCATTCCTCATCACTCATTTGTCACTGCAGATTGTATAGTCTTTTTTCCACATTTTATGTTCAGATTCCGACCAGTCATCCAGCTCTACACACACACATACACACTCTTTTTTTTAATCACGCCATGCAAAACCAAAAAGAAAGCACTGAAAATAGTCAATTATCAAAGTCTCGAGATAGGAAAAGAGAGCAGAAGTTAATGAGGAGTAAAAAAAAAAGAAAAATCTAGAGCAAAAGAAAATTGAGTGAGGTTAAAGGTCAAAATTTTAAAAAACACTATTAGTGGGAAAAAAAAGTATCATCAAAAGAACTATTTTAGAGAATGGGGCTAGCAAAATGAAAGATTTTTTTTATGTAAATGATGACACCAAAGTGAAAGACAAGAGTGAAACAGATAATAGGAAAGTGGAGTGAGAAAGAGGGAGGAGACCAATACAGAGAGGTGGAAAGCAGTCTGGAGATTTATGGCAGGTTGTTATGGAGCACCGACTGAATAACAGAAGGTGAGACCAGGTGAATTATTCATGAGGATACAGGGCTGAGAGTGTGTGTGACGTGTGGGTGAACGGAAACACACACATACATGCACTTAAGTATCTCGGACACTTTTAGGCCAGCTCATCTGTGTGTAAAAACAGAAACAAGTCAGCTACCAACCATACAGACGGAATCATAACCCAATGAAATCTGGCAGGAGACATGGCTGACCAGGGCCTGAAATAAAAAGGAATGGATGTTTTCATTCCTCTGGCTAGCTGTTTTAACACGGCACTCTACAGCCATGAGGTGCTCATCGGGATGCTTCACACAGACCGCTAGACAATGGACACACAAGGTGGACCTAAGACATTCAGTTTCAAAATGAACACCACATCTCTCTTATGCTGATCAGATTAAATGTACTCAATTAGCCGCCCACTCATAGCACCATAGTGCTCGCATGGAAATGTCAGTAAAGAAGCTTTTTCATGTATCTTTGGCTGCTTTAGCTAATACAAAATGGGAAATATTGCTTTAAAAGAAACCAGTGAAAGGAAATGCTGGAGGTATTGTTGCCCTTCCATTAATGAAGGTTGCTGCTAGCATCTTTTCTTTGACACTGGAGTTTTCACTTATTCAGTCGAACTAAAACATTGTCTTGGATTAACTTCAAGCGAGTTATGGGAGTCATTTCAAGAAGGAATTTTCTAAATAAGGCCAGTTTAAAGGCACTCTAAACCTATGGTGACTGTCGATTCGCTCTAAAGCTTCAACTGAAAAGAAGCCGCGAAAATACGAAGAAATAAAAAGATGAATGTTTCATTTCTGAAAGCGAAAAACAATGATGTGAAAAGAGTTTACATTACATTACATCACACGCGCGATCACACTGAATTCAAAGGAACCCTAAGAGATAAGCACAATATCCACATGCTGATCACAGACTGCGAGGAAAAGCGTCCCAAAACACTCACCGAGTTGATGCAGGCCAGCTCCTTGTTGAGCAGCCAGGGCAAGGAGAGCTTTCCCTCTCCTCTGTAGCAGGACTGAATCCTCTCTTTAATCTTCTCCTTTATCTGCCTCATTGTGAACAGACACAGAGCTGACTCCTTGGGAGGCTTGGCCCTGTTCTTCTGGCCCTGGGCGAACACGGTGAACAGAACCTCCTCGCGCTCCTGAATACCCAGAGAGCGAGCCAAACGGGCTCCCGGTCGGGCCAAGTAAGCATCCTGAACCAAGCGGTACTCCACTCCGTCCTTGGTGCACCCGATGGGGAACTCGACGTACGAGTAGAACTTCGGGTCGTCGACGCAGAGGCGGACGATCTTGGAGGTGAAAAACTGCTCGCTGCTGGCGTCCGGCGAGGTCAGCTGGGTGTCCAGCTGCAGGGTGAGGTAATACACAAACTGCTCACTGTTGAAGCCGTAGATGTAGTAGATGTCGAACGCCGGGAACTTTGACAGCGTGTCCGAGGGAATCTTGAGCTGGGAGGACACGAACTCGTCCTGGTACACGAAGCTGAACATGTCGGCGTTCTCCTCGTTGGACATCAGCTTGCGGCTGGAGAGCGTGGGGAAGTACTCGGACTTCCCGTCGATGGGAGTGCCGACGAATAGTTTCCCCCCGCCGCCGAAGATATCCGGCGAGATCACCACGCCCGACATGGTGCCCGCCTCGGCCACGCTGGATAGATAGTGCTCCTTACGGTGGTGAGGCTCCCCCAGCTTGAACAAGTCGTCCAGACGCAGGAACTGGCATATTCCCTGGGAGGTGCTCCCGCACGCTATCAAGCGGTTGTGGGCAGCGTCCAGCAGCAGCAGCTTATTGACGTTGGAGGTCTGCACCAGCTCGTGGGGGCAGGACTGGACGCCGGGAGGGGGGTAGCAGCGGGGGTTGTCGGTGACGGGGCCGGTCACGTGGCTCCGCAGCTTGGTGAGGTTGCCGGACAGCTTGTAGATCCAGTTGACCGCGCCTAGGTAGACCTCGCCGGTTTTGTTGTGGACCACCAAATGCGTGAGGCCTCCTTCCGGAGGTGAGAAGGACAGGGGGGAGGCGGCGGGCGGAGCGGTAGAGGCGGAAGTCAGAGACAGGGAGAGAAGTAGAAGGAAGGGGAGGATGAGAGGGGTAGGGTTGAGGTGGGAGGACATGGCAGTGAGGGGAGGGGATGTGTGAGCGAGTGGGTGTCGGAGTGTATTTTTGAGAGCGTAATCGGTAAAGGTGTCGGTAAGGGCCTATAGGACTGCAGGGTAGAAGGATAGATATATATAAATATAAAAAGTTTCCAAGGAATCGGCTTCTCCGTCCTTTTTTTCCTCCTTTCTGAGCCGTTGTTTTTATAGCCTCATCCCTTGATCCTCAGCATCATCTGCCACCAGCCCTGAAAGAAAGAAACAAATCACAATCTTAGCAAACTTACATGTCAGTATATTTACAGAAAAGTGTCTTTTGCAGGACACAAAAAAATAACATTCAGAAATCCAGTGGATTTGTTGCCGAAATGTAATAAAATAACTAAGAAAAAGAACAACAAATGAGAGCCCCGTCGGCTTTTGTTTTATTGACTTCTTGACTCTTGGCTCGCGCCACTCTGCAGAGTGCATCTTTTAAAAGAAGACAGGAATAAACATTACTCCCTTTGAGCATTGATTGTCTGGGAGTATTAAAGGATTCTGCAGAAACACCGAAACACAGGCACACAGAAATACTTACACTCCCAAAAAACATGTAGGAACACTGAACAATATGTACATAAGAGAAAAAAATACAACCTCCTAAAGCCTATGCGCCGTGCACATACAAAAAGGCTGAGCCATTGATGTGCAGCACTCAGATAGCAGGTAAGCATCCATAAATTACAAGCAGGGCTGCACAGAGAATGCCGAATGATATTTACTACGGAGCAACAGAGCAGAGAAATAGAGCC